TTATTAAAGTCATGGTAAAAAGTTAAAGGTTAAAAAAAAAACAAAACACTTTTTAAAAGGAAACATTCCACAGAAGTAATTTGAGAATGTTATAATGATAATGTAGAATAATTACCATGGAAATGTAAGTTTATTCGGATATAAAAACCCAATATTATTCAAAATTGGATTGTGGGCTTATGAAGTTATCTTCAAAACTATAAAGATTTAGAGGGAGGGTCTGTTACATATAGTATTTTTAAAAAAATACAGCAAGTTACTTACATTAGTCACTCCTGATGTTTTATTTTCTTGTTTGTTAAATAATGCATTTTTTAAAACTTCAGACAAAATAAAAAACTACTATACTTTTCTTATAAGATCAACTAATGGCAGCACCTCAGTCAATTAATCTTTAAACCTCATAAACATGATGAACTCTTCATTTTTGTATGGTTTTAATTTCAAGGTCTATATTCTCTTACTTTTCATTAAGAAAATCTGGTATTGTCATAAGTCAAAAATAGAGTTTCTGATGGATGGTGTTGCATCCTTACAATGAAACTAAATATTATGACTTAAGACCTTTTAAAAACTGACTTGTGGGTCAAAATTTAAACGTGCTTTGAGTCAGCATGCATTTGTTAACTATCTACTTGTGCTAGGCTAGGTGCTAGGGATGTCACAATGGAGCATCTACTTCCAAATGAGGAAATAGTAGACACGGTGGATGATAATAATATTACTACAGATAAATTTTGATTCATCATTTAGAGAATGGAAAATAGGAAAGGAACAAGAAACTGCTCATTGTAACTTTGTATTCATAGACTTATCATACACATACATTTGTTGCATGTAGGAGGTTATTCAATTACCGAATAACATTTATTTATTGAGGGCTTTCAATGTGGTAGGCAATGTTGTAGAGACTAGAGTACAACAATTAACAAAACACATAAAAATCCCTGTTCGCATTAAAGAAAAAGATGAATCTAGGTATGAGTGGATCAAGCATGGTGTCAGAGTACAGAAAAAGTTGTTCTTTGACTCCCCCTTCCCCTTCTTTTTCATAAAGGTTCATTGAATATATGTAGAAGGAAGTAAAAAAGGAATAAAAGGCCACCTCATAAGGGAACCAGAGCTACAAAATGGCGGCATGCATTTGGCCCAGAGATAGAGTGAAGCAAACCTACTGGCTTTGCCTTTGAAAGAGAGAGTCTGAAGAGTGCTTCCCATAAGCTCTCTCCCCTGCTTTTAGTTAAGGCTATTATTTACCCAACAAGCATAGAACTTCTGCCTATTTGATTGACTGCTTTCAGGGATGGTCTTCATGGCAGGGTTATCTGCTGGGTGTGAAGCTGCTGCATCACTTCACCCACTCAGCTGTCCAGATTTTCACAGAACCCAGGAGGAAGTACTAAAGTCACCCTGAGGAGCCACAGAGTGCAATGGTTAAGACTGTTTAGAATCCAACTCCTTGGATTTGTGTGCAGGTCACTTACAAGTTGTGTGATCTAAGACAAACAACTTAGACTCTGCCTCCATTTTCTCTTCTGTAACTTGAGAATAAGGCCAATCTCATACGGTAGTTATGACAGTTAGTAAATAAGAACACATGTGTGAATGTCCAAACTTTTTATAACTTATTTTCAGTAAGTCATTATTATCTGTTCCAAGTCAAAAATAATAAAAAAATAAACAAATTTAATCTAATTTAGTAAACTCCACCCAATCTCGAATTAAAAAAAAAAAATACCACTGGCTTAAAAACCTAGAGTTTTAAGGGAGGAATTTGATTAAATTCAAGTGCTATTGCTTTCAGGTAGGTTCATTCCACTTCAAATTATATACCTTGGGTAGGTGACATTGCCATATCACTCTTCCCAACTTTGCTTCCATAGATGCTTCTGATTCCACTAGGCTCAAGACTTCTGTGAGTCTGCTGCTAAGGGAAAGGGGAGGGGTGGTCTATTTCAATTGGCTTGTTGTCAATCCTTGGAGTATTGGCTTTCTGAGACAGCCAAACCCTGCTGGCTCCATTTTTATACATATATTTAATAGTCTCAAAGTCCCTAGCAACTGGTGTTCTAGAGAGTGCAATAGCCTCTCCCACCTCATGGAATACTTTTTCCTTATCTGGCTTCTGAGGGGCTGAAGTCACACATAGCTACCTTCTGTTCCTTCCTGAGACCACATGAATCCTGGCCAATGCCTATTCAGGCTACTAGGAAATGAGAGACAAGAACTAAGGGCAGAGAACTTTTGCCCTCCTAAGAAGGCATATGTTTGTTTGTTTTTTTCCATTGTGTGTTGCTGGCTCCAAAAAGTGAATGTGTAGGTTGTGTTGATCTGTAAACTCCAGTTGAGAGAAGTCAAGGCCAGTCTTGATGTTGATAAGGTCCCTAGAACTTCAAAGGAGCTATGTCTAATATCACCTCATTCACTATCTATTTCCCTGCATCAGAGATAAAGAAAAAGGAAGTGAGCAACACAGGATTCTGTCATCTAGTGTCCCAAATTGTAATTTTCTCTCTTTTCCAGGTTCTTTTTCTTTTCTTTTCACTAGTCTAATTCTGTCTTCTTTGATCCCTGATGCAGACTGGGGATCTGCCCTGTGCCAGGACTCCCTTTGTACTGGAATTTTGGTGGAGTCTTTGTTCTCAGCTCAATATTAGCAGTCCAGATAACTTTCTTGTTCTTGGTTGAGGGATAAGGGTGGCCAGCTCTGATCAAGTAATCTGGAAAAAGACTTTTTCTTGGTATTTTCATGGGCATATTGCAATCTTAATTCACCAGACACTCTGAATTTGGTAAGTACATAGGAACTGCAAACAGTTGTTAGCCATTATACTGAAAATATAAAACCTAAGGCTCTCACCTTAGAGGCCCATAATTTCTCAGTTATTAGGGATATTAAGTCTCTCATTAGAGTTTCTAAAAGATGTTAAGTTTACATAGCAATTAATGTAAACATTACAGAGAGTAATATTCTTGTTTATTATATACCAATAGCGTTGTCAAATTTAACCAACAAAAAGGCAAGGGTCCCAGTTAAAATTAAATTCAGATAGCAGATATTGTTAGTGTATCAATATGTCTTTTTCACATAAGTATTATATGTTTTTTTAGTATGTCTCAAATATTGCATGGGTGTCCTGCATTTTATCTGACGATCCTATGTGCCAAGAACCTGCTCTCCTCCTCTGATAGTTTGAAATAGATTCCTTTACTCCAAATGTAAAAGCTGCTTTCAAAAAAAAAAAGAGGAAGCTCAGAAGTGAGTTGGAAAGGTGAAAGGTGACATGGCCAGTCACTTATGTTATGTCTCTCTTGTCAGTTCATAGAAAAAAGTGAATGCCTCTTCAATGACAGGAAATGAAATGGGAGAATAGTCACTGTGCTTCCATGTTTGGGTCTGTGTGGTCCACAGAGTGTTAGTTATCTTGAAGACTTAGTCCATGTTCTCGTTTGCTTAGGAAGGATAAGAAGTTGTCAACCCTTAAAAGATTTCTAATTAAACTGTGGGTGCTTTGATGTCAGACTTCAAGATTAGTATTACATCTTTTGAAAAGATACGATTTCATGTGCCAAAGAGAGGGAAATATGTTTTGGCCTTTACAGACAATTATTGAATTTAGGGAATACTTATTTTAAAATATAATCATTAACGCTTGATAAGCTGAATTTGGTATATTAATCTAAAATTTAGAAAAACGTGTTGTTACTTAGAAGAAGGATTACTATCTCCCTTACTCTTCAAGTAGTTTCTGGCTAGAAATCAATCATTTATTTATTTGTTTATTTGTTTGTTTGTTTGTTTGTTTACCCTGGAAGGTACAGAACCTTTGAAAGGTGATAGTAGGAGGTATTTTGTGGAAGTACCAGAGGGGGGACCCACAAATTCTGAGAGTGTTTTATGGATAGGTATTGTATGCTCCACATCTATTTCTGTTTTAATCAATGACTTGAAGAGGGTGAGAGAGGTAAGTAATTTTGCTTGAGTTATAAAATTGTCTGATTCAGAAAGTGTTTTGTCTAATATAACTCCATGTTGAATTTTCCTTTCAGCCTCACCTGCACTTTCTTTGTTTTTCAGAAGTCTGAGCAAATAAAATAAAACAAAACTCACTCTTACTAAGTTCACTTCTAAATGAAAAGATAGGTAGTAATTTCCATATAGCCAGCATTTTTATTTCTCTTGATTTTGCATAAGTTTTTCTGAATATTTTCAAAGTACCCTTTGAATAAAGTCTTGTTTATGTATTTGGGGATAGCCATCTAATCTCACATGTACTATATTATTTAGTTTTATGTTTAAAAGTTGAAGAATCAGAATTTGAATAGTCTAACCTCCAACCTAGGTAAAAGTGTCACATGGACAGCATTCTTAGGTTTGCTTGAATATTTTTGTGGTAGGAGTTCATATGTTTTTGAGGCAGCTCATGTAATTAATAGCAGTTTGAAATGAAGGCTTAATTGAACTGGTACTTGCCTCAGAGAAACTTTTCCTCATAGATCCTAGTTTTACATCTAGGGCCACATAAATAAGTTGATTCCTTACCACCGCCCAACCCAGGTATCATGTTGGTAATCTCTGAATTTCAATACTTTTGTAGCTAAGAACTTTTACTGTCTGACTCCTAAAGAGAGGATGATATTAAAAAAGGTATTTCAATTATATTTATACAAAAAGGTGAAAATATACAAAATATAGGGATGTATTCAGGGAAACTTAAGGGATATATATTTGTTTACTTGTATATGTATACACACAAATATTCAAGCACACATATACTAACATATACTCACATTGTAAAGAAGAAGCAAAGCCTCAGCTCAGTTGTTTCAGTCACATTCCCCCCACTGATATACAAGAAAATAGAGCACAGCGAGTAAGTAGGTAGTGTTTCCCCTTGAGAAAGGATCTTCCCATTTGTTCAAGGCTTGGTAAACCATGGCATGTCCATAGAGCATCATGGATCATAAATTCACCTGTTTGACTCTCTCCCATTCCACAGATCATCTTCCGTAAAATCAGTGATGTGAAGAAGGAGGAGGAGGAACGCCTCAGGCAGAAGAACGAGGTGACTCTCAGCATCCCCGTGGACCACCCAGTCAGGAAGCTCTTCCAGAAGTTCAAGCAGCAGAAGGAGCTGCGGAATCAGGGCTCCACGCAGAGTGACCCCGAGAGGAGCCAGCTCCAGGTGGAGAGCCGCTCCTTACAGAACGGAGCCTCCATCACCGGCACCAGTGTGGTGACCGTGTCACAGATTACTCCCATCCAGACATCTCTAGCCTATGTGAAAACCAGTGAATCCCTCAAGCAGAACAACCGCGATGCCATGGAACTCAAGCCCAATGGTGGTGCTGACCCAAAATGTCTCAAAGTCAACAGCCCCATACGAATGAAAAATGGAAACGGGAAAGGGTGGCTGCGGCTCAAGAACAATATGGGGGCCCATGAGGAGAAGAAGGAAGACTGGAATAATGTCACCAAAGCTGAGTCCATGGGGCTATTGTCCGAGGACCCCAAGGGCAGCGACTCAGAGAATAGTGTGACCAAAAACCCATTACGGAAAACGGATTCTTGTGACAGTGGAATTACAAAAAGTGACCTTCGTTTGGATAAGGCTGGTGAGGCCCGAAGTCCTCTGGAGCACAGTCCCATTCAGGCTGATGCCAAGCACCCCTTTTATCCTATCCCTGAGCAGGCCTTACAAACCACGCTGCAGGAAGTCAAACATGAACTCAAGGAGGACATTCAGCTGCTAAGCTGCAGAATGACTGCCCTGGAAAAACAGGTGGCAGAAATATTAAAAATACTGTCAGAAAAAAGCATACCCCAGACTTCTTCTCCCAAATCCCAAATGCCACTCCAAGTACCTCCCCAAATACCCTGTCAGGATATTTTTAGTGTTTCAAGGCCTGAATCGCCTGAATCTGACAAAGATGAAATCCACTTTTAATATATACATATACATATATATTTGTTAATATATTAAAAACAGTATATACATCTATATACATATGTGTGTATATATAGTATATACATATATATATATATATATTTTCACTTGCTTTCAATATGATGAACACAATATGGATTTTGATATGTACATATTGCATGTCCAGCTGGATTCTGGCCTGCCAAAGAAGATGATTATTAAACATAGATATTGCTTGTATATTATGCAGTTGACTGCATGCACACTTTACATTGACATTTATTTATATCCTCTATTCTGTAATTTTAAAATGTATGATTTTTTTGTTAACTAAGGCAATGTAATATTTGAAGAATCAGGGTCCAACCTGCCAATGTTGCCATGACAAATTTGATCTCAGGCTGAGTATATCAAGCTATCATTTCTTCAATGTTATGTTAAGTTAAATTATAGATTAATGCCAAGGAAGTACCATTTTATGATCTCTTTCCATAGATATTTTTCTGTAACTTAGTGTTAGGTTATTTTCCCCTCCATTTAAATACTGTTTTGTTGCCTACGTCGGATAGCAGTGTGGGGTATTGAGAACTTATTGCTATGGGTTTTGTGCATGAATTGCATTTTCACTCAACTATACCTCTCCTTTTTTAACGTTATACTTAGATAGTAATCATTAGCTCTTATGTAAGGAAAACCCTACTGCCTCCGTCTTGGAGAACAGCCGCCATCTTGTAAGCTGACATTATCAATACCATAAACACTCAACTACTCATATAGTGTATATTATTATAAAAATACTGCACCACAGGGTATAAGGGCCTTTTGATAATTCATGTTAGAGATGCCAATTTTCCAAAGGTGATGAATGTTCTACATTTGTATTTTTAAAATTTGTTCAAGGGTGTGAGGTTGAAAGGTTCCTTAGCAAAATAACACACAAAAAAATTTATGTAAGTGTATGAAAAACTTACCTATTATGATACAGAATTTAAAAAAATAATGTACACTGATAGACATGTTCTGTTGTGTATCTGGAACTAAAAAAGAATGTCACATGTTTGCTGACCCATGATTCTGACTGTAGAGATGACACAAGAAATGTGGAAACCAGCAACTAATGGAGAGATAGATGTTAAGTTGTTCAACTCAGTTAACTGCTTTTCTATGATTTTTTCTGGTTCCAGTTTTGTAAAGCCTTTTTGCACACAGTTTACTGCTGGATTCCTGCTGAGTTGATACAATAGACTACCATGGCTCAGGCAGATCCACTTACAAATGAGGGTAACTAAAGACTGAATGTCATTGTCTTTGGGGTCACAAATCCTCTTCTTAGAAAGTGCCTATTATCAACTAAAAAAGAAGTAACAAAGAGTTGTGTTGTCTATAGCTAGTCTTTCCAGTGATATGCATTGAAACAGAATACACATTCCTTTGTAAGAACCCAAGAGAATTTGTTTCTTTCAACTGAAGTACATTTTTTGAAGATGTTCAGAAAGGCATTCTTTTCAATTAGTGCATGCATGGCATTTGATATTGGGAGCAGGGGAGTTAAGTAATGAGTATCAAGTTGAAAATATATTTCAGTAATTTGTATATCATGGGACCATCTGTACATATATGTTGACATATAAGATGATGGCAGAATCAAAAGAAATATTTTGGTTTATTATACCCATTTTTTTATGAGCTTTTGTAATTATCTTCCAGTGTCCCCAGTCAAATCTATTAGAACTGAAGGACAAGTTATCATCATTAGACTGGAGAAGTGTGAAACAGTAATTTATTTTAAAATGTTGCTATTTTAAAATTTATGTTTGAATTTCTTTATGAATCCTGAGGTGTGCCTGTTTAGGAGTCTCAAAACATGTGTTAAATACCATAGCTTCTATCTTTTTTTTTTCCTTTGTGCAAATAACTTCCATTTCCCGTGATGGAAGTTTTCAGGGGAACATATTTCCATGTTATGCTATGCTACAATATCTACCTATCATAGGCACATATAATAATAATTATTGTTGTGGAATCAGTCTTGGAATCAGCCTTGAAATTGAGATTTTTTTTTTCATAGTGAGGCTAGTACTTTTTTCTTGACCTCTGATGTTCATTGAATTTCAGGGTAACTTTTTGTTTGTTTAAATCAAGTTTAGCTAAAGTTTTTAAAGGTGAATGAGTGCTATAAACAATTTGAGTACAGAAATTGTTAGCTTCAATCACGTGCTTCAAAAATAATAGTCAATGTAAAGCTGTAAGAGAATGACCGTGAAACAGCAGGATGATTTGAAGTTGCCAGCTACACCTTTGTAAAGGGATGCAAATATTTGTTGCATTCTGACATTGACTCAGTTTTACTTAATTGACCTATAATATTAGTCATGTTGTATTCTCTATCTAAATATATTTTCATATAGGTGGGAAAGAAACAGTGGTTTTGAGCTACTCCAGGCTGTCAGTAAGGTGGAATGCATCAACTGTTTATTTATGGTGCAGTTATGACGGTATTCTTTTTCAGACATCTCAGTCCTCTGTGTGCATGTCATGATGCGGTGCTGAATGCACTCTGCTGTTTTCAGCAGGAACGCATGTATTCAGCAAACATTGTATATAGAGTAGTTTTTAGGTTCCCAGGCTTCACAATTCTTCACAGTAGCATTTACTCCAATTTGAATAAATGGTAAACACTTGCTTTAATACATGCAATAATCATGATACAATCAAGTTCTGTGTCGCCTCAACCAGCATATGGACAGTTGAGGCTTTATGGGGGACCAAACCACTGCATGTTTTATTCCTACACTGTATAGATGCTCTTGGTGCATCCAGAGTAAAATTTTTACTATTATACTTCTGAACAATGTACTAATAAGAGTAAATGGATATGTATTTAAAATCCAAACATTTTTCCAAAGCAGCATACACATCTTCAATACTTTTCTATGATGCTATTAGTATAGAAGATCAGATGCTGTATCCTGCACAGGTGGTTGTAACATAATAGCAAAAGTCAAATGAAATTGGAAATGTGAGCTTTGTATCATAACAGCAAGTTTTATCATCAGTGTATCAGGATAGTGCTGCATTATATGTGATCCAGTATATGAAGAACTAACAATAAAAGGCAAATAGAAATTCAAAAGGTCAATGACAATACCAAAGCTTCTGGCATCCCACACTGATGTGAATGGTACTTAAAACTGTTCAGGCAAGGTGATTGAATATAGACTCCTACTTTAACAGTTAAAATGGAAAAAAAAATTATTATGACACTGGTTTCATCTCACATGAGTATAGGAGTATAAATATTCTAAGTATTAAGATAAAAACCAAACAACCAACTTAGTGTGGATCACAGGACAGAACATTTGAAACCTGGAGTTGAAAATTCTCCCTAGGACCAATATACATTTCTACAGAACCCAGAAATTTAGTAGGAATATTGATTATGACAAATAACTAACATGTCGTTTTGAAAATTAAACTCATTGATACCCCCAAACAAATCACATTTCCCCTTAGCTTTAAAGAGATTTTATTCACCTGTGAGATCTGGTCCTTTGATGTTATATTTGAAAAAACCAAATTTTTCAACCCCCCTTTTTTCAAATAAAAAAAAATAGTCTTCAGAAAAGTAATTGTTTTGAAGTGTGCAGTGGCTGATACTTGTAAAATTATTTGTCCTATTTCTAATGAATTCTACTTTCTTGTAAAATTTTTCTTTTGAGTTATTTTCTCTCATTCTCTTTTTCTAAATCATGTAATTAATGAGAAAATTTGTCTAGAATGTATGTATCATACAAGGATAACTCTAAAATATGAATATTTTGTAATTGTGAGGATGTTGTGATTTAATATTTCTTTATTAGATATGCCTGTTTCACTTGTGATTCTTGCTGGGAAGAGGAGAAGAAAGATTTTTTTTTTAAACACCTGAGGACAGATATCTGGGGTCTTTCTTGAATTCTGAATCTAGCTTTGTCACAATCTAGCAGGGTAATTTTGGGTGTGGTAATTGTTTTTAGTGTGCTCAGCATTTCAACTTCCTCACCAATGAATACTAAAACAAAGCTCAGTACAGAACCCTTCTTACATCAAGATGCTGTTATTTCTCAATGGAAAGTAATTTTTCTCTCAGATGAAACTCACATTAAGACAAATTATCTTTTCTTTTTGTAGGATATAAACTATCATGTGCCCTCCATCTTTTAGGCTTTGGAAGAAATTTTTCTGAATAGAGGTTGTTGGTGAGAGTTGTAGGTTGCTAAATAATTATCAGCCAGTTACATGGGAGCATGAGACTTGCACATTTTCTGGGAATTTAGAATTATTAGTCAAGTAAATATGGAGAAAATGAAGGTTTTTGAAGGTGGAAGAGGGGTAAATTTTATGGCTTTTCATATTCAATTTAATCAAATTGCTCAGCAGAAATTTTCAATTTTATGAAAAAGCATACAAGTTGTTAAATATTCAAGGTATTCATCCTTTGTCTTCTTATATAAATATAACCGTGATTTACACAAGACAAGTGATTCTACATGGACAGATGTTCTTACAACAAAATTCTTAACTACAAAAGAATCCTTTCTAATGACCAATAGGTTTTCCAATGTGTATCTTGAACTTAAAAGAACAGGATAAATAAAGGAAAGCCATATGAATGGCATTGAAAACTACTAATTTGATGTATATTAAGTAACAATGTTTTAACTTAGAACGTTATGTGATTACTTTTTTAATATTTATTCTTAAGTTTTAGGTGGACACAATATCTTTATTTTACATTTATGTGGTCCTGAGGATTGAACCCAGTGCCTCGTGCATGCTAGGCGAGTGGTCTACCACTAAGCCACAACCCCAGCCCCATTATGTGATTATTAATATTGATAATTGGAAGAAGCTACTTATAGTCTTTGATTTTTGTAATATTTGTTCATTCTGCAAAGATATATCTGTATCCTATACTCAAACTATTATTGCTACATACATCATAGTTTTTCTTATTATCACTACATTTTCTATGACCTTTTGAGTAAAGAAAATAAGAGGATATAGAAACAATAAGGAAATATTTATGCATTGGAAGCAATATTTATATTTAGATCTCATTAGGTTTTTGCTAATCATTTTCATCAAACCACAACTTAAAAATGGATATTACAAGTTAAGAATTATGCATATTTTGAAAGCACACATAATTGCCCATGTTAAAAAATATATTAGTTTTAAATGCCTTCTATTTTTGAGTAGAGTTCAAGAGGGTTTAAGGGCATTGGTCATCACTGGCCTTGACATTTTTACTATCCACTTCAGTCCTTCCTATTTATTTGCTAAATGATTAGTAATATTTATATTTTGATCCACCAAAGGCCTGTGACATTACAACTGATAGCTGCTTTACATATGTATTCTTCATATGTAAATAAGTATTTTCAATCAGCTTTCAACATAAACTTTGTGCTTATAGTCTAAACGTATTAGCAGCTTACATTACAAAATCTTTATGACTATGGCATGGCATTTAGTATTTTTTTAGAGAATTGATAAATATCAATTTGTCACTACAGAGAATATTCATCTTACCTTGGTCTAAGAAAACACAGAGAAATAATGTCCAGGGAGCTACACAATCAGAAAAAAATCAAGGATTCAGGTTTTAAATAGGTTACTGGTGCCAGGCTGCGTGGATTGTGGGAGTCCAATCAGGCTTCATATATGGATCTTTGGAACAGATCTACAAAGAGGAGCACTGTGGAGGTTGCAGTGTGATGCATGTAGAAGTAAACATGATCATTGACTGTTTATGGATGCAATCAGAGCAACTGTGGCAAGCTTTGTAAAATTTTAAACTGTTTTAGCTTAACTTTACTGTTGTTCTGTGCAAGTATATGCAGCTTTCTCAATGAGAGGGTTAACTAAGTCTGGATCTGATATTTGTTGGAAAAACACGAAAA